GTCGCCACGCCCCAATCCCTCCTCCTCATTTCCCCTCTTGGGATCTTGGGCACGCATGCACACGCGCCCGGCGTAAGTTTTAAGCCACTGGGTCCAGGACACGAACCACGGCTGACTACATAGGAGTCCAGCGACATAGCCATTACGCTAAATGCTGGTCCTGCCTTTTATTTTTTTAAGAAATATTTATTTTTATTTATTCATTTATTTATTTTAATTTGACCAGAGACAGACACAGAGAGAAAGAGAAGGAAAGTGAGAAACAAGCTACTAGGTTTGGGAATCATGGTTGGCCATGTGGGAGTGTCCAGCACCTTAACCACCACACCACCTGCTGGTCCCGGCAACTTGCTTTTTTAACTTAATGTTTTTGAGCTCAAATATTATGTTGTGGCTCTAGTTAATTCCTTCTGTTTTGAAATACTTTATCACGTGCATAGTCCACATTTTACTTAGCCATTTCCCTGACTTTTAGTTTGTTTCCAACTTTTTTATTATTTTAAATACAAGTCTGAACATCCTTGTACACTGGTCTTTATGAACAAAGGGTACAATTTGTCTAGTGCATATGCCTAGAGTGGATGTACTGGGGCCAGCAGGTGGTGCGGTGGTTAAGGTGCTGGACTTCCACATATCTGACTGTGGTTCGAGTCCTGAATCTGGTGGCTTATTTTCTCACTTTCTATCTCTCTTCCCCTCCCTGTCTCTCTCCGGTAAGCACACATACCCTATAGCAAAAATTAAAAAAAAAAAAAAAAAGTAAAATAATTGTTTAAAATACAAAAATTGGATGTATCACTAGATTATACATGCGTATTTTCATTTTCACTAAGTGCTGCTAAACTGCACTTCAAAGAGGCTACCAATTGCCATTCCCATTGCAATATATAACTTTTTCATTTCCTAACTCCTTGCTAACACGTAGTATTTTTCAAACTTTTAAATGTTTGCTCATCTGATGTATACAAAATAGTAGCTGATTGCTAGTTTAATTTTACAGTATAGTTTACTCTATTCAAAAATCGCTTTTAACCTCTGTAAGAAAATTTTACATTTGGCCTTAAATGGTTTAAGCAGCCAGTTCCTCTATTTCATCAACTTTATTTGTATTTATTTATTTTTTTGTTATAGGGTATGTGTGCTCACAGGAAAAAGAGAGACGGAGATGAAAAGTGAGAACCATCCCCCGGGGGGCGGGGGCGATGGCCATGCTGCAATCCCTTCCACTCCATTCTCCTCCTGAGATTTTTTTTGGCACCCAGGCACATGTACCTGGTGTGATATTCAAACAGCCAAGGCTGGGACTTGAACTGCGGAGTCAGCTCTGTGGGATCCAGACATCTAAACCTCCATGCCACCTGTTGGCCCTTTATCAACTTTATTATACTCATAAAAACAAATGACAAAAAAACTTTGAGAGAATTTATGTCTACCTTCATTTCAAAGGAAATTATTAGGCATAAGAAACACTCTCAACCAAAATAAAAGGTGACTTCCAGTTTCCTCCAACTTACTTGATATCTGCACCTGCAATAAAGCAGCCTGGCTTCGAGGAGATCAGGACGGCACTTCTGACTTGATCGTTGGTCCAGATTTCATTCATTACTTCTGTGAACTCTGAATGTAGCTCTTTATTCAGTGTATTTACCTGCCAAAGGGAAATAATATAAACGTAAGGGTTTAAAGTTGAAGTACCAGATGTACACATCGTCGTCGAACGCTGTTTTGATAATGGAAAATGTGTTTATCCAGCAGAAATATACTAGAAGCAAGAACGAGGCAGAACCCTCCCCCGCCCAAACATACGCACACACACCCGGAAGCTTTCTGTTCAGGCAGCTTGGGCCACCTGCGGCCGCCCCACCCTTTCAATGTAGTCTACTTGGAGGAGGAACTTGGGGCCATATTCCCATGAATATTTTTTTGTTGGCATGGAAAAAATTCACACACTAGTAATTTAAGGAAAAAAGGACCTAAAAATCAGATACATAGTATAATTTTAACTGTGTAAATATTATTTATAGAAACTGGATTAAATGTGGATAGCGTTGGGTTTGGATTATAAATGATTATTTTCTCCTTTATAATTTTTTTATACTTTTAAAATTTTCTACCATAGGAGGGACCAGCAGTTAGCGTAATGGCTATGTCGTTGGACTCCCATGTAGTCGACTGTGGTTTGCGTCCCAGACCCAGTGGCTTAAAACTCACGCCGGGTGCGTGTGCGTGCGTGCCCAAGATCCCAAGAGGAGAATGGAGGACAAGGGATTGCAGCGTGACCATCCTCCCTGGGGGGTGATTTCTTGCTTTCTGTTTCTATGTCTCTCTCTGTCTGTCTGGCGAGCGCACGCGCCCTATAGCAAAAACCTCTCCAAAAAAAAAAAAGTTTCTACCATAGGAATGTATGATTTTTGTGTGTGTGTGTCTAAGAAATATGCTCAACTTAAAAAATTCTGGGGGCCAACAAGTGGAGTGGTGGTTAAGGCACTGGACTCCCACACGGCTAACTGTGGTTTAAGACTCAGTCCTGGCGGGCTGCTTCCTCTCTCTCTCATTCTCTTTGCTTCTCTCTGGTGAGCCTACATGTTCTATAGCGAACTTTAAAAAATAATAATAATAAACTATTTTAAAATTCTGAAAAAAATATCTTAACCTGAAATCATTGGTTAGTGGGTGCTAACATTTACTCTAGTGAAGAGAATGACTCTTCCTTTCATCTTCCTTTCATTGTGACAGTTGTCAACCACGTTACATAGGTCCTCCTAGCTTTTCTAGGCCCCTGGCCACAATAATTTTTTTTTTTTTTTAATGTCAGAGGGTGTATTTGTGTGTGTGTATGAAAGAGAGAGAGAAGAAAAAAGAGGGGAAGGAAAGGAAGAGGGGGGAGTGCATCCCTACTGGGGCCTGGTCAGGCTGCAACCCTTTTCTCTCCAATTCTTGCAAGATTCTGGGAGCAGGACTGGCATGTTTTTCAGGCCTCCAGAGGCAGGACTCGAACTCTGGATGGCCATGTGGGATACGGTTTTCTCTGTGCAGCACTTAACCACTGTGCTCTGGGGCTGGCCCAACAGAAGTTTTTAAGTATAAAACTTTCACACGAACTTTATCTATTTGTTTTCATTATTTTATATGACATCATTTTTTTTTTTTCCTGGTTTCTTTTTTTTTTTTTTTTGGAGAGGTTTTCGCTATAGGGCGCGTGCGCTCGCCAGACAGACAGAGACATAGAGACAGAAAGCGAGAAATCACCCCCCAGGGGGGATGGTCATGCCGCAATCCCTTCTCCTCCATTCTCCTCTCGGAATCTTGGGCACGCACGCACACGTGCCCGGCGTGAGATTTAAGCCACCGGGTCCGAGACGCGAACCGCAGTCGACTACGTGGGAGTCCAGCGACATAGCCATTACGCTAACTGCTGGTCCCCTATATGACATCAATTTTTGATGGGGGAAAAGTTTGGGCTCCTACAATAAAGATCTTAGCAAACGCCTGCTTTAATGCTGTGTTGATGTTGCCAAAAGCAAATGAAGTTCCAATCCGAACAGAACCTGACTCCATGATGCATATGCGAATTACACTGAGTCATTCAGATCCTCAGGGAAGCTTAAGAGACAACTATCCATATTGGGGACCAGCAGTTAGTATAATGGCTATGTCCCTGGACTCCCACGTAGTCGACTGCAATTCGCGTCCCAGACCCGGAGGCTTAAAACTCACGCCGGGCGCGTGTGTGTGCGTGCACAAGATCCCGAGAGGAGAATGGATTGCGGCGTGGCCATCCCCCCGGGGAGTGATTTCTCGCTTTCTGTCTCTCTGTCTCTGTCTGTCTGGTGAGCGCACGTGCCCTACAGCGAAAAAAACCTCTCAAAAAAAAAAAAAATAAGAAAAAGAGACAACTATACATATTTAACCCAACTGATTTACTGAGTAAGGATATATGTCAGGTGATGAAGAAAGTGGATTTAATGACCTTGTATTTAACAGTTAGGAAAATTTTGATTCCTATTAACAAAACTTGCACTTCGTTTCTCACCTGACAAGTCAGCTCCTCATCCCACCCTGTAACAGAGGCTTATTTTACTAATCTTTGAGGTATATCTGACACCTAAAGTCAACAGAAGCAATTATTATACAAGTACCTCTGCTTCAGAGAATTGCCCTCATGGGCAATTTTTCAAACTTTACTTAATTTAACTGTCAAAATTACAATTTTATATGATAAGATTACTGCCCAACTGATAGACTGCTTTTCCCTTTCTCATTCAGGGCTGGATTCATAAATGTCATTAGTAAAAATAAACTTTAGCAAGCTCAATTAAGTACCTTTGAATTGGGTGAATTAATTCGAATAACTGCCACATCCCCTTTGACTCCATAGCTGATATGGGTTCTGGCTAAAAAAGAGAAGGAAAATTTATTTGTAAACATATTTGTTGTAACACACATCTAAAAATCCATGTAAGCATGTCAACATGAAGTTAAACTTACTTAGTTCAGCAGAAGAGCCTGAAAAGTTGCGGCATGTATAACCTGTAAAAGAAAGTATGTCAAATTAGCTACTTTGTAAAACAAAATTTCTGTAGCGCCTGTTATATATAACAAGGCTGGAATTTACAACAAAGCCCCCCAAATCAGATGTTTCCTAGGTCATTACTGTGACTACTGCTATATCCTTTTTTGTTTCAATTATCTGGTATAGGGCCAGCCCTGTAGCCTGGTGGTTAAGGGAGCTGGATCCCATATGGCCGACTGTGGTTTGAATCCCAGCCCCAGTGGCTGGATAAGTACGCTGTGCATGTGTACATGCACATCCAAAATCTGATAGGGTGGAAAAATGGAAAAGAAGGAATCGTGGCATGACCACGCCACATTAGATACTTTCTTTCCCTTCTTCCTCTCTGACAAGTGAATCCCCCCTGGCAATTAAAAAAAAAAAAATCAGGTCATACGATTGTATGAATAATAGATGAAGTGGTTCATAAAAGAATGGCCCCCAAAGATGCCCATGCCCCTAGAACCTGTGAATGTTGGGTTACATGGCAAAGGATTAAAGTTACAAATGGAATTAAGGCTACTAATCAGCTGACCTTAATATAGGGGGATTATCATGGATTATCCAGGTGGGCCCAGTGTGATCACGAAAGGTAAGGAGGAGGCAAAAACTGGAGAGATGGTGTGAGAATAACTTGGCCCCACACAGCTGACTCGGACAGAGGAGGAGTGGGCAATGAGTCAAAGAAAGCAGGCAGCCTTGAGGAGCTAGAAAAGCTAAGGTCATAGGTTTGCCTCCGGAGCAGCAGAATAAAGGCAGCCCTGCCAGCACTTCGCTTTTAGCTCAGTGAGACCATTTTGGACTTCTGACCTCAATAACTGTAAGATAATAAATGTTTATTGTTTTGGACAATGACTTTGTGTTAATTTGTTACAGCAGTAAGAAACACACTAGGCAATAACTGACCTAGAGGAGTCCATAATGTCAGTTCCAAATGTAGTCTAAATATAGCCCAACGATGTTTTCCAGCCATGTCCTCTCACATGTTTTCTGGAGAGAGGAACTTACCAATGTTTTCAAAAGTAAAACCAAGAGGCAACAATGACTACTATAAATGAAACATCCCATTTCACATTTTGTTACTTTAAATATTTCTAACTGGAAGTCTCTATTGCACTCCACTAAAAGTTACTCCTTGGATAACAAAGACGGCTGGCCTCCCTCTTTGCTAGTTTAGGCTCTCTAGCGTCAGGATGGTGATGATGACACACGATCCTTTAACAGTCTTTCGATCTGGACTCTCGATATTCTAGAACATAAAGAACAAGGGAATTCCAGGCAAACATTCCAACTGTGTTTGGTGCATTACTCTACCTCTTTTCTAACCTTGAAAGCTCATCCGGCTGTGCTCTCATAACATCTTGCTCTAGGTAGCCAAACAGTTGTGGAGGCAGTCCAGAGAGCAGCCCTTAATTACAACTTCCAATCTTAAAAAAAAATCCTTTTCCTTCCTTTGTCTTGCATTCATGGTTCACCTCAAATCATTTCTTATATGTACCTCTTTAACCCCTTCTTCCTGCCCACATCTTTCGAATCTTGCCCAGTTATCTTGGGAAACGTTTCCTCTTGCTTTGATTCAAAAATAAAAACAGAGCCAGCAGGTAGCATGATGGTTAAGGTGCTGGGCCCCACAGGGCCAAATTTGCAGTTTGAGTCCTGGGCCCAGCAGCTTGGGAATCACACCAGACACATGAGCACGTGTGCCCAAAATATCGAGAGGAGAATGGATGAAAAGGGATTTCAGTCTGGCCGTCACCCCTAGGGGTGATTTCTTGCTTTCCCTCTCTCTGTCTCTGTCTCTCCAGGAGCATATGTACCCTGTGGCAAAAAAATAAATAAATAAAAATAAAAAAATAAAAAACTTTTAAAACCATTTGTCACTGTTATGATGGATATCCTAAATACAATTTTAACTAACTCTATTAAAAAGACTTTGTATATGATTTAGAAACAGACCCTACGACTCAATTCCAAGTTGAGGATGGCCTACATTTGGCCAAGAGGCAAAGACCCTTCCAGAGCTGGGAGCAATAACTTATGGACAAAGAGGAACCCAAGAGACTACCCAATATATCCAGCTAGACTGGGATTCTCATACGAATACTGGGACGTGATTCTAGAACCATGGCAGGCATTTAGAATCAAATGGGCAGGTTCAATTATGCTCACAAATTCCTGGAACCACAGAAGCAGAATTTGAGAGGGAGGCTGGCATCAGAATCTGTATTTTTAAAAAGATGACTTTGGAGCTGGCTTCTTAGTGCAGTGGTTAATGCTGTGCTGTGGGAGCTGGATTCCACATGGCAGATTCAAATCACAATCCCAGTGGCTTGAAAAATGCCCACGGCAAGCATATATGTGTGCTCTAAATCTTGACGAGAGGGGGAGCAAAGAATTGCGGTGTGAGCATGCTTTTTCTCTCTGGCAAGCACACATACCCTCTAGTAATTAAAAAAATAAATAAAACAAAGTGATTCTCAAGTTGACAGCAAAAACAAAATGAAAAGGTTATTTGGGAATAACTGATTTGGAGAACCTAATGACGGTGGGAAGGACCATAAATAGGTAGCCAAGCTCTTGCTTCCTTCTTCGTTCTATCCTGCAGGTCTTCAAGGGAAGGGAGAAGATACAAAGAACTGCAGCCTTCTATTGGTCTGAAAGGCAAGGCAGTGTATTACAAACAAGGAAAAGACAAGTGTGTGGATGGACCCAGAACCTGAATGGAGGGAGTTCTAGGTTCTGTCTGCACTTCTTCTGTAAGCAATCGAGTCAGCCCTCTCAGTGCAAAGACAAAGGACTCGGTTCTGCCGTCAGGTTTATTCACTAGCTCTGTGATCACAAATAAGGTAGTGAATCTCGGTGTTCAAGGATGGGAGAAGCCAGCCACCGCTTCAGTCCCTGCTCCTCTACTGATCTGATGAAAGGCCGCCCTTTGCTCCTCTACCATTTGACTCCTATGTCATCTGCATTTTCTTTTTCTAAAAAATTATTTATTCATTTAAATTCATGTGTTCATTTGTTTACTTTAATTTGACCAGAGAGAGACACAGAGAGAGAAAGTTTTGGAAAGTGAGAAAGCAAGCCACCAGGTCCAAGACTCGAACCACAGTTGGCCATGTGGGAGTGTCCAGCACTTAACCACCACTCCACCTGCTGGTCCCTCATCTCCATTTTCTGCTCTTCTGTAACTATGGATCACAGTTCCAATATTTTCCACAAAACTTTGTCTTCAAATTCTATTCACAATAATCTTTCCCTTTTCTGCCTGCATTTTTTTTTTTAATGGTCAGAGCACTTTTTAGATTTATTTAATTTTGTTTTTTGAGAGGTTTTTGCTTTAAGGCATGTGCGTTTGCCAGAAAGACAGAGAGAGACAGAAAGTGAGAAATCATCCCTGGGAAATGGCCCCACCCCAATCCCTTCTCCTCCATTCTCCTCTTGGGATCTTGGGCACACACGCACACGTGCCCCGTGTGAGTTTAAGCCACTGGGTATGGGAATCAAACCATGGTCGACTACATGGGAGTCCAGTGACATAGCCATTACGTCAACTGCTGGCCTCTAGATTTGTTTTTTTAATGCTTTTTTTGCTAAAGGGTGAGTATACTTGCTGGAGAGAGACAGAAAAGAGAGGCAGAGAGGGAAAGTGAGAAATCACTCCATGGGAGAATGGCCACGCTCCAATCCCTTCTCCATTCTCCTCTTGGGATTGTGCCTGGTAAAATTTTCAAGCCACTGGATCCAGGCCTTGAACTGATTAAGTCAGCCATGTGGGATCCAGCCTCCTTAGTCACCATACCACCTGCTGGCCCTTCCTGTCTGCATTTTAATTTTTATTACTAACTGTCTTCTTCTCTAAGCAGGTGTTTTTCCCATAATCTCTTCTAATATCATTTCATAGTCATGTATTCAACAACAACAAAACTTTATTGTAACCTACTACATCACATGCCATGCAGTTCTCTAGGCACTTGTAATACATCTAACCACTTGGAGTGAACAAAACACAAAAATCCCTGTCTTGGTGAAGCTCATATTCCAGGGCACTGAGACATATGATATTGGAGGAGAATCTGTTTCTAAGCCATGAAGATAAATGAAAAATGACCAGGCATGAAAAAAGAGTTTGCCTGTAAAGTAGAAATGCCAGGGGGAATGGAGTCAGGACATAGGTAGTTCCAGCTAGAACAGGATAATAAGGATTACAGCAGGAACGGATTTATTGGGGATGCAGGTTGGGAGGAATGAGGTAAACAGACAAAATATGAGATACAAAAATACCTAAATAAGTATGTGAGACGTCAAACACCGAAACAAACACACATACGGGTTGCAATTTTAAAGATCGAATATTTGAGGTCACAGGTTGGTGCCCATTGTTTATAGTTTAAAGCATTTTAACTCTGCCCACTAACCTGCCTTTACTACACACATATAAAACCTCTTCTAAACCAACAGAACTAACATACTTGTAAAGGATTCCAAACCACAGGTATTTGAACTGAGGTGGAGTTCCAAATAGCTCTGCTACTGGAATCCAGCCCTACTCTGCTCAACAGCACAGCTTCCTCTGCAGCAGCTGGGTGAACTTTAGCCTACATCTACTGTGCCAGAAAGAGAGAGAGATAGAGAGAGAGAGAGACCTTTGTCCCACTTTTTAATCGTCTTTGTAAAGTAACTCAGGAAACTGTCTGTAAGACCTGGTAAATCTACAGTTGGTAGACTGGGATTGTGCTGATAAGATTTTAGACTTTCTTAGAAATGTTACTTTGGTTTTTAACAATCAACAACTTTTGTCATAATTCAACCCTGGGTAAGGGTAGAATTTAGGAAGTGAAAAGTAAAATTTATAATAAAAGATACCACCTCCTGGGCCAGTGGGTGGTATGGTGGTTAAGGTGGTTGGATCCCACAGGGCCGAGTCTCAGACACAGGGGTTTGAGACTCTTGTGTACCCAGAATCCTGAAGGGGTAGGGAATGCAGGAGAAGGGGCTGTAGAGTGACCATCACTCCTGGGGTGCTCTCTTTCTCTCTATGGTGAATACATACTCCCTATAGCAAAAATTTAAAACAAACAAAAAACCCCTAAAGTATTTGCCTCTCACGTGAAATAATTGTGAAATAATTTTACCACTTCTATAATTAGGAATTTAGGTTTAGAATAGGAGTGGGAATTAGACAAGATATTTCAATCAAGTTGTAATTTTCATTTAGTAGTCATATTCAGAATGATAGTACTTGTAGCGCAGGAATGGACACAAGTCAGTTTCGAGAGAACTTAATCATCAACCAGTAAATGTCAATGTCATTAAGTCTGGCAATGCCTTGACATGGACTTTCAGGGTATTGAGACTAACTGGTCATTTAAAATTCCCTTTCTAGTCATTTTTAAAACTGTATAAATCACTATTATAAGGGTCATACCCATTATTATGGGTCATGTTTCCTTATTAGCAAAAACAATACAAAATATATAGTAATGTGTCTGTATGTATTGTCTATACAGAAAAATTAACCTGGTGGCTTTTTATCATGCTTGTAAAATATAAAAATAATTTTAAAAGATTCTCAGATAACTTCATTGTATTTATTTAGGGTTGGAAAGAGTTAACAGCTAACATTTACTGAGCACTTGCTCCATAAAAAACAGCTTTCTAGCTAAAATAACTCATTTTGACCTAAGTGGTATCTAAACTCCTCATTTTGCAAATGAGAAACAGGGCAGTCCCCATACCACTGCAGGGAGGGATCTGGACCCCATATCACAAGGCTGATCAGGGTGTGAATCCCTGCCCAGAGGCTTGAAAAGCACATCAGGCCTACTGGCGACCATGAGGGGGAATGAACAGACAGAAATAAGCACTGTGAAGTGACCAGGACGCCGGGGTGGACAGTGCCCCGCCCACAGGTCATGCACATTTGCTCTCTGGCATAAAAAAAGAGAGAAACAGAACAGACACAGAACACAGAAATGAACTGTCCAAGGTCACCAAAGGGTAAAGGACAGACACAGATTCAAATCTAGAACTCCAAATTGAAAATGTCAGACTCCAAATTTCATGCTTTTAATGGCTGTCATGCTACTTCTCATACCAGAGAAAATGCTGTCCCAATCATTCACTTTACAGAAGAGAAAATAAAGCCCACTTGGATTAAGGTATTTGTCCGAAGTCACAGAGCTGGTTAGTGACTTGAAACCACGTGACCTGACTACCAGTTCAGCATCACACGAACTGCCAATCCATAAGAAATACGTTAACACCAATACAGGGGCAAGTTCAAAAACAGGCATTTGATATTCAAAACTGTTAAATCGTAAATGTGAAGAAATAGGAAAAAAAAACCCAACAACTGTTAACACAAACACTAACCGTATGCATGTGAGTAGTAAGACAATGGGCCATTCCTTTTTCCTAAACTTTTTCCCTAATCTTCACAGCATTTCAGTTTTCCGTGCTGTGGTTCTACTACGTGCACATATGCTGTGGAGGCTAAAACTAGTGACTGAAGGAAGAAAATAAAGAAAGGTTCATTCAATTCATCTCTTACAGCAAAGAGAGATTTCAGCCACCTGTCTTAAAAAGGCAAACTACCTCAGTGGTTCAGGAGGAGGAATGAGAGGGAATTCACATAACCAGTTAAATTATGAGTAAAAACTTCCCATTCACTAACTGGCATGAAGGACAGCATGCAATAAAAAGTCACATCTGACCTTACAGATTTGGGATGAAAAATACTAGATTTTCCACAATACAACTAACACTTTAATCTTTTCATACACCAGTTTGAAGAGAAAAAGTGTAGCTAATACAAGCTGAAGGAGAACCATCGCAAACTAGATTTAGAAACAGTTCTTAAACTGATCTAACATTTTATAATTTTGAATACAAATTTTGCATATTTCAAAAATCTGTCTCCAAGGAAAGTGTAGAACTTCCCATTGAAATTCAGTATACTGTACATCACATTGGGATTACTCAGGCGCAACCGTTGGTCTCCTACAGAAATGTGGTTACTAAGTACAAAAATGGTTTTGAAGGAGAGGGAGTGGCAATAGACCGCGAGGCCGGTTAAGCCTTTAACACAGCTCTCGTTGCGGGCAAGGGGCTGAGGAGCCAAAACGATGAGTGAGACCGAGACCTGGTCCTCCTGGAACCTCTGGTCTAGCACAGACATTTTCCTTAAGTTAAAAGGAGCGTGAGCCCAGAAGGGCGAGTCCTGCAAAGTGCCAGTCCGGGTTGAAAGGACTCGGAAGCATTCGAGTTAAGGAGTCGGAGTGGTGAGACGGGGAGTGGCAGTTCAGTCGCAGGAAACAGGGTTCCAGGGTTACATTCCTCCCGAGGACGGGGTCCCGGGCGGGGCGGGGCTGGGCAGGGGGCACCGAGTGGGGGTGCGGCTCCGGAGCGTCCCCAGATGCCGCAGGAGTTCTGGCCGGCGAGCCGGGAGCCCTCAGCCAGGCCTCACCTCGGGAGCGGAGGGTCCTGGAGGCCGGGG